ACGCGCGTCGACGTCGCCGTCGACGTCGACGTCGATGGCGAAGACGGAGAAGGCGGCGTCCGCGAGCGTCGTGATGATGTGCTCGGCGAAGACGGGGGGTTCGTCGTCCTCGCCCGTGTCGTTCTCGTACCACGCGACCGTGTCGTCGTTGGAGGACGCCGACAGCGCGTCGACGTCGCCGTCGCCGTCGACGTCGATCGCGAAGATGGAGGTGGCTTGGTCCGCCGAGGCGGTGATGACGCGATTGATGAAGGACTGGGACCCATCGTTCTCGTACCACGCGACCGTGTCGGAGGACGCCGACAGCGCGTCGACGTCGCCGTCGCCGTCGACGTCGATGGCGAAGACGGAGAAGGCATACTCCGCGAGCGTCGTGACGACGCGCTCCGTGAAAGACTCGGACCCGTCGTTCTCGTACCAGGCGACCGTGTCGTCCTGCACGGATGTCGCCAGCGGGTCGACGTCGCCGTCGCCATCGACGTCGATCGCGAAGACGGAGAAAGCGCCGTCCGCAAGCGTCGTGATGATGCGCTCGGTGAAGGACTGGGACCCGTCGTTTTCGTACCACGCGACCGTGTCGTCTTTGGAAGACGCCGACAGCACGTCTATGTCGCCGTCGCCGTCGACGTCGACGGCGAAGACGGCGGTGGCGCCGTCCGCGCCCGCCGCGAGCACGCGCTCGGAGAACGCGACGCTCGCGCAATGGGTTGTGGGCCGCGGCGTCGGCGCGGCGCAGTCGTTCGCGAACCAGGCGACGGCGTCGTCGGGCCAGGACGCCGCCAGCAGGTCCGCGTCGCCGTCGCCGTCGACGTCGGCTGCGACAAGGCACGTCGGCCCCGCGAGCGAGTGCGAGACCGCGCGCTCCGCGAACGACTCGGCGCCGTCGTTCTCCCGCCACGCGAGCTTGTCGTCGGTGTAGGACGTCGACAGGACGTCGACGTCGCCGTCGCCGTCGACGTCGAGCGCGTAGATCGCGTAGGCGTAGTGCGCGAGCGTCGTGATGACGCGCTCGGCGAAGGACTCGGAGCCGTCGTTCTCGTACCACGCGACGGTGTCGTCGTCGACGGACGCCGAGAGCGCGTCGACGTCGCCGTCGCCGTCGACGTCGATGGCGAAGACCATGCGGGCGTGATCCGCCAGCGTCGTGACGATGCGCTCCGTGAACGACAGGGACCCGTCGCTCTCGTACCAGGCGACCGTGTCGTCTTCGTAGGACGCCGACAGGAGATCCATGTCGCCGTCGCCGTCGACGTCGATCGCGAAGGCGTTGCGCGCGCCTTCCGCGGACCGAGAGACGTAGTAC